TTCATTTCGTGTTCAGTTGCTTCAAGTGGTGCTCCATGTCCTAGGAGGCACACACTTTTGGCCAGGTTAAAAGCCAGTTGGTGATCTTTTTCAGCCACGACCGAGTCAGTGGCCTTGATATCTCGGTCGTTGAAGGTCAGCGGCGGAGCCCACTTCGGAGATTCAGGTCGGTTAGTTTGCTCCGGTTGGTGGGAAGGTTGAGGACTTTGCGGGAGGGATTCAACCTCATCAACAAGTTGCTGTTCGGCCGGTGCAGTTCGGGCGCGTTTGGAGGGCCGAGATGAAGAAGGCTGCTGAGAAGGAAGGGCCACTACGGCAGCTGCGCCTCGATGGATGGCTGTACTTCGCCTTTGGTTGTTGAAGTTAGAAGGGCCCTGACTCTGCTCTTCTTTGCCATTTCTTCCTCAGCTGTCAATGGAACAAGTCTTATCTCGGGCAAAGTTGGGTCCGGTTCCGGTGCTTCCTCAAGAAGAAAAATCGGTTACCTTTGCTTTTCGGCGACCGCTATACCGGTAGGTCGGCTCAAAATTCAGAAGCTTAGCCCAACTCCTCTCTTGGCACCGTAGTGCGGCTCGCAAAATTGCAAGGTTGGGATAACTATATAGAGAACGGAGGTGGGCAAAATCTGCCAAAAAGACAAGTGTTAGTTCGGTCAATGGACTGAAGAACCGAAATAAAATGCAAGGAAGAAGACCGAAGTTAAATTACCAGGCTCTCCCATTTTCCAATTTATAGGTCGGCCAGGAATTTGAGCTTGAAAATCCTCAAAGTTCCCAGAGACCCAAAAGAAATCATCATCATTAAGATCTTTGTCCGGGAGTGTGTTTAAGTATCTTCTCTCGGCGGCGGCGAATTCTAAGGTAATAGACCCACCCAGCATTCTTTGAGCCAATAGAGTATTGATGAAAAGATCTTGGCCAGACCAAGATTTAGTCCGGTTTGGTGGTTTAATGCGGCTATTCCCATAATTACATATGTATTGGTGGACAGTTGGTGGGGCACAACCTAGTCTGTCTAAGAAATTCGCAGATTAGCGGTTGGACAGGAAACCGTAGTCCGGTTTCTATTATGGATTGAAGGTAAAAGGGACGAAGCCTTCATTGTCCCAGGGAGTAGCATCTTTCTTGGCCAACACCAGTTGGACATCATCAGGAATCTGGTAATCTTGCCTAAATTCGGCCATGCCACCAGGGGTTCGACTAAAATATCTATACTTACCCATTTGTTGTATAATTTATGAATAAATTATTTCGGTACAAAAATTAGCTCAGTAGCTCGGTTGAGCACACGCAGGAATGCCTGGGCAACCTAAGTCTGCAAGGTAGAAAACAAAGGGGTTAAGCACAGATCGTTGACCGCGCTACAAATTATAAGCAAGATATGCAAATCCTACTTCGGCTTAGTGGGCTGGTTCTACCTCGGTTTATCAAAAGGTTTGAAGCTTCGGTCTTGAGCAGATTAGACCGGTTTATCGTCTAGGGGCAGCTTTCTGAGTTCGGTCTAAAAAACTAAGAAAGCTGGTCTAGCCCCAAGGCCTAAATCAGTTGTGGAATGAATAAAGTTACTTCGGTTAAGCTTCTAGGGGCGGCTTTCTGAGTTCGGTTTAGGAACCAAGAAGACCGGCTTGGCCCCAAAAGCTTAGTTCGGTTGACAACCGAAGTTCCTAGTTTCCTATATTCAAAATGTGGTGGTCTTATTTCGGCTAAAGTGGGTCAGGCTCTGGTAACCCATTGAAGCATTTAAGTTCTAGTTCGGTTCTTGACTACAGAGATCTACCTGTGGGGGCAAACAGGATCCTAGTTCGGTTACTATGTGATTTTGGATCTAGGGTAGGTTTTCTACATAATAGTTCATACATACATGGGGTTCTACTGGTTTCTTCATAAAAAGTACGAAAGCAAAGCAGATAAGTGGAGAAAAATGTTTGCAAAAAACATACAAAGCATGGAAAGTAAAGTACGAAAACATAGAAAGCAAGATGGTTAGATTTTCTTACCTGAAAAAAGAGAAAGAAGACTGGAAAAGGAAACGGTGGCAGCAAGAACACAAGCTTGAGTATGGAAGTAGAGGCACAGAAAGAAGATGAAGATAGAGAGAGAAGGTAGATGCAGGTGAGTGATTCAGAAGTAGAAAGGTTGTTTTGTGAAAGAAGGGAGAGGAAAAGGCGGAAAGAAAAGGCGGGAACTGTTTCAAAATCACGAAACACGAAGACGGCGTGACAGCCGTCCTTAACCAATCAGAGCCTGCCACGTATCACTAGAATGGGAAGCGTTACAGACGCTATGATTGAAGAGACGTTTTTTACCGGACAAAACAGAGCCCGAAGTAAAATTTAGCTCGGCTTAAAAGTTCGAGAGTTTTTAGCACGGCTGGAGAGGCTAAAGTATTTTTAGCTCGGCTGGAATAGCTTAAAACGACGTCAGCTCGGCTGATGAACTGGTAATCCCAATCATGCTATGCAGATGGAATTAAGGGGCAATTGAGAGGGTAATTTTTGGGAAAAATTGGGCCGAGCTGCGAGTTGGGCATTGAGGCCCAAAACGCGAAGGACTAAGTAAGAAGGCCGCAATAGATACTCCGGCCCAGAAGGGCAAAGTTACTCCGGCCTTGGGAAGACAAAGTTACTTCGGCCCAAGGAGGTGAAATTACTCCAGCTCAAGAAGAGATAGTTACTTCGGCCCAAGGAAGAGTAAAATTACTCCGGTCTAGAGACAACTCACAGTTAGGCCGGTCTCAGAGTTAGTCCGGTCACAGTATGTTCTGAGAAGGCCGGTTTCGGAGTTAGTCCGGTCGTGACTTACAATGGTTAGGTCGGTCAGAACTTGTTACTTGGAAGTTTGATCTAAGTACGTCAAGGTTGAACAGAACAGCCGAAGTAATGAGTTAGAGGAGAAGACCGAGCTAAGGATAGTTCGGCCCTCTGTGGCTCGGTATAGCCAATTTTACTTCGGTCAAATGGAAGTTCGGCCATAAAGAAAACCATCCCACTTGGTTTAAGCAGTGGGGGAGGGTGTAAAAGGATAAGCATTATCCTTAGGAGAATGAATCCTAGGAGGACTCTGCATGGAGAAATACAAGTCCTACTAGGATTGTGCCATACGAAACTTATAAAAGCTCACAAGCAACACCTTGGAGGAGGTAATTGAACACAATCTTTTTGAGAACTTAGAGCTTTGTCTATTTGTCAAGTTTTTCTGACTTAGGCATCGGAGAGGTTTCCGGCACACACCCGCCGGCTAGCTCACGTTTGTGTTTTCAGGTGACAAAGCGACGTCGTACGGAGGAGCGTGGACTTGGTCAACAGGATTATACGAGGAGAATTATTTCCTCCCCGTACAACTACCCAAAAAATATGTCACCACACAAGAGCCAAAACAATTATCATAATCAAAGACATTCTTTTGCTATCACTGTATGATTTCTTGTTTTCCTCTCTCTCTCTCCCCCAATACACTGAATCCAGACCGCCGCACTTTGGTAACAATCATTTTGCTATACTAATAAGCATTTAGTGTAAACCCCCTTTTTTAAGATCAAGGTACATACATATACACACAACAAATATGAACACATTGGACGTATGGAATCTGATTGGCTTAAATTCATGTAATAATATTAACTGCATAAAAAAAAAATTAAAAAAAAAATGTTAACAATGATGTATTCAAGCAATTGAATTGTTAAAATTTTGTTTTCTTTTAGTCTATAAGGAATACACAGTTCCTCTTGTCCTGTGCTATATATTCTAATAATTTTTAAGTACATTAGTCTCAATATTTAAGGAAAAATTTTGGTGTTTATGAACTACAACATGATTCATATCACTCACTAATCATCAAATATTATTCCGTCGTCTTTCTAATTCCTAACATAAATTTCTGATTTTCACTATCTCCGTCCATCACAATCTCAATGAACATTATATTACCTCACCTTGCCCATGTGATTGGAAATCTATAATCAATGCATAGGCCAAGATTGATATATATGTGTGGAACCATAGTAATATGAAATAACAATAAAGTCGAAGAGAATGTCAAACAACAGTCTTCGAAACGATCGGCATAGATTGAGGCAACGCGCCCTTACTATAGTTTGAAACAAAAGGTGTACATTGAGATGTATTTTATTTTTAAAAATATGTATAAAGAATATTTTTATATAATATTATGTGTATTAGTGTATGTCTATTATGACTATTTTATTTTATGATATAATTATCATTAAAATCATATTTCATTAAATGTATATACTAAAATAATTAGGTGTGTAGAAATAGAATTTTTCGAAATCCCTAGTATTTTCCTTTGGAAAGCTCTTTTGGATAGACTTTTGATTTATAAGACTGGTCTCGTTTGACAACATCACTTTTAGTCTAAAAGTAAAAAGTTATTAAAAAAAATGAAAAAACCAACAATCTATACTAAAAAGTCAAAGATTTCATTTTCTCTCTACTTATTGCATATTTTTTCATAAAAAATTAAAAAATTATCCCAAACATATTATTCTTTTACCTCATATTTTAACCAAAAAATTAAAAAATTACTAAAATAATCTATTCTCAAACAAGTCGTGACCATTATCAATTTTTTTTGTTTTTTCCCCATTAGTCTGTCCATCTACCACAGCTGGTGGACAAAGGGCATACACATACAAAATCAAAAGAGCTTTGAGAAAAAAATAAAAATAAAAATTAGGTTAAAAGAAAAGATGTTTGGTTTTATTTTGTTTAAAAAAATAGTTAATAAAAATAAACATCAAAAATATATTTTCAGACTTTTACAAATTATTTCTGCTTAAAAATGATAAAATCGTATTAAAATGATTAACTTTTTATTTTTTTTCATTTTTTCATCAAATTAGTTTTTAATTAAAAAAAAAAGAAGCAAATTATAAAAATCAAGCCAAACAATGCAACTCTCCTATATTGTTTAGAGAGATTGAAAAAAAGAAAAGAAAAAGTATAACAAGAGAAGAAATTATTATGTGTTGCAATTCTATTTCTTTAATACTTCTTGAATTATAGTAATCATTCAACATTTTTTCTCCTTCATTGTTTACATTTCTCTCCTCTTTAATCATTCAAATAAATAATTAGAATCAAGAGAAATTAATTTTTTTTTTTTCTCCAAATCATTCAATCCAAATGTGCTGCTTGAACATGACTAGCATATACTTTCCTGTATTGAATTTACACAGTTTAAACCAGACATATATAAAACTGGAATTAACTGAATTTCATCCATAAAACCAATTAAACTACTTTACTCCACTGATTGTAACCATAACCATCCTATAGGGTTAGTATAATTGAGGAACAATTAATCCTTGATTAGGAAATCAATCTGAGAACGAATGGAATAAAAGAGGAGCTTGTATGTCTTCTCAGTTGGGTGAATGGAGTCCCAAAACACATACTTTGATGCATCAGAGCAAATGTAAGATTTTGAGTTGCATAAGAATGATGCCTCCAATAATCCAGTCCCACAACATCCACTGCTAACCTCATCAAAATCTGAAATGCAACCCCCCCAAAAAATTCATTAGATGGGCTGGGCTAAATTTGGTTTAATTTCCATTTTTTTCTATGGCATTTGGTAACGTTATCAGTTTTCTATAAATATATATAAATGAAATACTTTCGCAAAAAACAATATCAAAATAGTTTGTTTTATGCAATAATTATTTTAAAAAAATATAAAAACAAAAGTAAGAAAATTTGTTTGGTAAGTTGTTGGAAGTGGTAGGAGACAGTGAACATTGAATAGTGACCAGACACAATGGCCAGTGGTGGAGGGTGGCAGAAGTTGTTCGCCTAAGTTTGTGACTAGAGGTTGGAGGATGGCGAGAGGTAGTGGCTAGTGAGAGGGGTGGCTAGCGGTGGTCTCTAAATGCGGTGGTTGGCGACAGGAGGTTGTCGGAGAGATATGAGAGAATGAAAACTTGGTAACATTTGTTGCCTAAATTTATTTTCCATTGATTTCAAAATTTTTTGTTGACTTTTGTTGTCAATTGTACCAAATACTAGAAAATATTTTGTGCCCAAACAAAACAAATGGAATGCAAGTGAAAACGCTTTCTTCTTCTTTTTTTATTTTAATTTTATTCCTAAATCTTTGAAAATGATTTTCAATGTCTTTAAAAACAAAAATAAGAAATAAAAACATTACCAAATGAGACTTTTTATAAAAAAAAAAATTATAATAATTGAAAAAGCAGAGGAGGGGATGTACTTACCGAACTTGGGGCCTTGAACTATCATATCAGACAATGGTCCATGCACATCCAAGTACACAATCCGGCCTCCTAATTCTTCTAATCCAATTTGGATGGTTTTGAGATTCAATTGGAGCAACATATTGTGCTGTTTGGAAACAGAGGAGAAGTAATCCACACAACCACGTTGTAGAATTGCATTATCCGAATTAAGGGTGATCACCATAGGCAAACAACCCATTGGTGGTAATCCAACCACTCCAATTCTTCTAGCCCCTTGGTCCATCAAACCCTACAAGCCAAAGAGAAGATACTTAGACCATGTTTGTTTACAAATTTAGGGAGCGGGATTGGATTGCTAATAAGTGGATTCAGTCAAAATTAGTTCTGATTGTGACAAAATGACATGAGACTTATTATTTTATCGACCTAAGATGCATCATAAATGAATTAATAAATTTGTCAACGAAACTTTTGTTGTTGATGTAGAATATGGGGGAAAAAAATCTTGTAGACAAATTATATATGCAGTGGATGTAATTTTCTTTTTATGTCAATTTGATCTTGATTCTTGTAATTTCAATAGTATCAATTTTGTCTTTAATTTTTCACATTGTGTCACTTTAATCCAATTGATTGAAGGGTTAGCGTCAACCCTTCAATCAATTTGAGAGTGAATGAATTATTTTGCTCTTTGAATACAATCAAATTCTAAAGAGACATTATCAATTAAATTAAATTGACGCAATATAAAAAATTAAAGAGTAAATTGATCAAATTAAACAACAAGTGCCAATTTTATAGAGTAGGCAAACTATAAATACTAGCAATGTAATTTGCACTAAATTTTATGTAAATTATTTTTTTTAACCATCATTGAAACTTGACAATTATGATAAAAGTAAATCTAAGCGTACAGAAAATTTTTACAAAATAAAATATATACATGTGAAATTCACTATTTATCTCACATATATTATGATAATATTTGGGCATTGAGCAAACCTGCACGAACTGCTGGACTTGCTGCAACAACAACTCCATGTAACTTGGGAGACTATAGCTCTTCCTTCTGATTGGCATAGCAAAATAATTCATAACAAAGTCATTTGTACCAGCACTAACAAGGTACAGTGCATTGTTTATCAAATTTTTGGTTCTTTTCTTCCCTATCACCATCTCCAATCTCGCTTGATACTCTTTGAAGTACTCTAGTTGCTTTGGCAATGAGATCACATTCTGAAACAAAAACAAATTAACACCACCCAAAAAAAAAAAAACAAAAAAACCTCAAAATCAGCTTGAATTTTACACTCGTAATATTTGTAGTTTGTCTGTCATATTAATCTGTCAATTAAAAAATAAAAAAGTTCATCATATTCTAATTCAAACAATTTTATCCTTGAATTTTTTTTTATTTTATTTATTACATTGTATCAATTTGGTCTAATTAATAATGTTTCTATAGAATTTAGACTGCAATCAAGAGGCAAATTAGTCTATCCACTTCTCAAAGTGATTGAAGGGTTGACATCATTTTTGAATTAACCATTTTTCTCTTAACTTCTATTCAATTTCTTAATATATGTTATTAATTAGAATAAATTGGCATAATGTGAAATTTTTTTAAAAAAATATTAGAATTAAAATGACTAAATTGACCCAAAATTTAAAATTTTGATAAAATAAACAACAATAATACTATGGATCATGAAAATTTATTATGAATTTTGTCTGGAAAATGAGTGTGTGAAGGAGATTTAAAATTAGCGGGACGTGTGATATACCCATAATGAATATAAACCTAACTTTTAAATAATTTTTTTGAATAAATTTTTAAGTAATTTAACTTTTTTTTTTAATATTACTAATAAACAGTAGCATGATGATATATAGAGGAGAGGGGGAGAAAAGGACTAACACTTATTAGTGGGGTAAGGGGGTCAAATCCTGATCCAGCTGAGGCAAAACTAACACCACCCAATAGCTCATCAATGCTAAGTGTTGAGTCCAAATATGGAGGCAGATACTCTTTGACACCTACATACCTAGCTGCACTTACAACACACACACACACACACACACACACACACAAAAACACAAAAACAAAAAAAATATTCAACATTATCACTATGTAAAACCAAAAACACCCATTTCCCTCACAAAGTATGGTAGACATTCGAGTCACTTGTAAAATGGTAATTTACCAATAGATCCTATTTTTAAGATTTATTATTTACTAAGTCCTATTGATAAATTTGTTAAATGATAAATTTATCACTCTCTCTTACTTTTATAAATAAATTTATCAGTGAGGACTTATAGGTGAATAAATTTAGTTAATAGAATTGATTGATAAGTGTTCATTTATAGCATCATCACTTAATTCAAAGGATTAGTCGATGAGCTAATAAATGCTTCAAAAACAGTAAGTTATAAGTTCGTGAAACGCTTCACTCTTTGAGGCCACCCCAGAGGCTATGTCAAATAATTATCTAGTATACGTCCAACAGGAGCAGAATCCTTAATCAAGATGGATGATACACCAAATAAACAAAAATTGTAAATCACATGTAACACAAAAGACTAAGGGAAAATGTTTCAGTGTGCACTGTACACCATATGTAACTCTAAAATTTGCATAAGTGATTTCACAAAAATACGTAAGTCGAACACAAATTTACGTAAATTCGCAAAAACTCAAGACTTACGAGACTGTGCTCAACTTAAGTAATTTTTGTGAGATCACTTATATAAATTCGTGACAACTTAATTTTGTGATAGAATTACATACAATGTACACTGCACACTGAATTTTTTTTCAAAATTAAGTGTACATTCACGGTGATCACTACAATTTCACTATGATAAAAAAACAAAATTCAGGCTACAGATTATAAACACTAAAGTACCGGGTACCCTCATTCTAAAATTTGGGATCCAATATCCAGTACTTGTTAGGATCCCCACTACTCTTAACAATATGAACTTGAGAAATTGGAACAAAGTCCCAGATACCCATATTATCAAATATATATATATATAAATTTGTTTTGAACTCACCAATGAAGTCAGTAGCAAGCCTTCCATTACAAAACCTTCCAGTTGGAACTTGGTTTGGAAAATCTCTCCCATAAGGCAGAAAGTTGCTCTTGAAGATAGTCCCAATGTGGTTGTTGTTCCCAGGGTCAACTGTTGAGTCTCCAAACACTAAAATAGCTTTAACTGAGTTGTTCAAACCCTTTTGCTTTCCTAGAGTTTGAGCCTGGGCTTTAGGTGATGAGATACTCATCATCATCAACACATAAAGAAAAAGTTGAAGCAAAAAAAGACGATGGAAAAGAGTGAAAAAATGCTTTAGAGAGGAACACATGTGGGTGAAGTAGAATGAAAACAAAGGAAACTTGTTTGGTTGTGTAGAAAGTTGAAAGAAAATGGAGTTTTTGATTCCAATGTTATAGAAATTTTGGGTCACATAAATAAGAAATATTGAAACTTGTACTATTATATTTTTGTGGGTTGATAGATGTGGTTGGCGAACCAAACTCTTTCACAAGTCTCAACCACCTTGTGAAACTAAATTTCTTTGGTAGTGTTGACAAGAAAATAGTATGTGTGACATAAAATGAAGTGGACTGAACTGTCCTGTTGAAACACACTGATATTTTTCGGTTTAAAGCAAAGGATAGAGACCCCTAGACAGAGATAAAACATTGTTTTAGTACCTGTGCTCAACGGGAGAAATGGATGGTTTAGAAAATGATAGCTATCTATAGCTATAGTTTTGTTTTTTTGGGGGTAAATTATGCAAATTTTCCCTTTAGTTTACACGATGTGTCAATTTAGTCTCTTTGTTCGATTTTGTCCTTTAATTTAATGAATTGTGTCATTTTAGTATAATAAATAACACTTGTTAAGTTAATTTAACGGAAGATCAAACAATGTGTCAATTTGGTCAATGTACTTTACATGATGTGTCAATTTGATTCCTATAGTTTCAATTTTTTCAATTTTGATAAGGATTAAATTGACACATTGTGAAAAATACAAGGACTAAATTGACATATTGTTTAACTTTCCATTAAATTAACTTAACAACCGTTATTTATTGGACTAAAATGACACAATTCGTTAAATTAAAAGGCAAAATCAAGCAAATTAAAACTACAGGGACCAATTGACACATCGAGTAAACTATAGGGACTATTTGCATAATTTCCTTTTTTGTTTTAAAACAATGTGCAAAAATAAAATTTGAAAAACTTTGATATATATAGTTTTCATTTTAAAAAAATAAAATGAATTGATTTAAAAAAAATTGAAATGTTTGGAAATGAAAAGAAATATACTTCTACTTATTTTTAAAATAAGTTTTCTATCTCATCTCCTCTAATATTGGTGGCTATCATTGATCACTGATCAACTCTGGTCACCTTTTGGCCGAATGTTGACAAGTTCCAGCCACCTTTCACTACAAGAATTAACACTTTTGGCAAAATTTGAAAAACTTTGATATATATAGTTTTCATTTTAAAAAAATAAAATGAATTGATTTTAAAAAAATTGAAATGTTTGGAAATGAAAAGAAATATACTTCTACTTATTTTTAAAATAAGTTTTCTATCTCATCTCCTCTAATATTGGTGGTTATCATTGATCACTGATCAACTCTGGCCACCTTTTGGCCGAATGTTGACAAGTTCCAGCCACCTTTCGACGATTGGCAGATCACCATCCGTGACCTTCAACAGCTCTTTGGCCGCCCCCATTGCAACTATTATCATATCCATTCACTATCACTGACAACCACCTCTAATAACTCACTAAACAAGAGTTTTTGTTTTTGTTTTTGTTTTATACATAAAAAATAAACAAACAATTGTGTATTGTTTTTTTATAAAGAGAAAATAAGAAAATGACAACTTTGTCAACGGTCATTTACATCATTCACATCATGTTGATGTAAAAATGGGACTAAATGGAGCATAAGAAAACTTTTAGGACTAAATGGTTCAACGTTTCAAAAACTAAGACTTATGGGTAAATTTTCCAAAAAAGAAACATACACATGAACCTAATACAATAATAAGATCAACTGTAGTAGCTGCCAAAGTACATGACAAATTTGGCAAGACGTCACCAAAACAACATTTTTTTTTTTTCAAATGTCGACAATATTATTTGTTGTGCCAAATTTGCCAACATGTTTGACATTGTCAAACTTACCACATAAAGTATCGCTCCTTCCCTCTAATGTTTTCTCAAAAAAAATGTATTTTAATTATTAAATTCAATATAAATGTATAAAAAATATCAAAAATCTCTATTGTTATTGAGTGTATTGACTAAAATATATGTATATTTTTTTTGACAATTTTACTCAATGTAAATAGGTAGATAAAAATAAATCAAAAGATTAATGTTTAAATTGACAAAATAAAACTCAGAATTTATTTTGTTACAAAACTCAAATTTTAGATTTTTTTTTTTTAAGGGAGCAGCTTGCCTACCGCCTTAATCGGACTAGACGGTATTGTTCAGCCCGTGGAGGCCCATCATGAGTCCTGTTTTGATAATTCGAACTGTTTAATATGTAGAACTCGTAGAGTACTATATGCCTGTGAAAAATCACGTTGATCGGATATTGATAGCTATGTGATCAAATCAGTTTTGTATAAAAAAATGCACGGTGAACAAATTAACGGTTGACAAAAAACTGATAAGATGAGATAGTTATCGATATCTAATCAACGTGATTTTTTACAGGTATATAGTACTCGACGAGTTTTATACATTGAACGATTCGGATTATCAAAACGGGACCCGTGGTGGGCTCCCACAAGCCAAACAATACCGTAGCTGCCCCTTTTTTTAATTGCAATTTTTCCTTCTTTCTTTTTTTTTAAATAAAATTTTTGGGTTAGTTTTACCTGGTAAATTTCATAAACAGTAATAGGTACTGCGGCTGGATCCAGTGGAAATTGCTAGTAAATAAGGTAGATGAGAAAAGGTAGATTATCTCAAGGGTTCTGTAATAAGATGTTTAAAGAAAGAAGTGAAGTGACGAACAACCCTCCAACAAGTACTCGCATATTTTTTAGTCCAATCTTATTTGTATTGCAAATCAATTGTATGATAATGCAGGGGGAATTAATTATCCCAGAATCTTCTACTTTCAGCTTTAATTAATGAAGTTTCAGTTTACCAAGAAAATAAAAAATGTTGACATAAAAAGCGTTATTCATTTATAAATGTATGGGTTCCAGAAGCAATAGTCCAACTAAAATTATTCACTAGGCACTTATGGTGATAGGTATGAGAGTCTTTAAAATGGAGAAATTATAGTGGGCAAATTTTACTTTATCCCCTTATAGTTTGGGTTATGTGCAGATTATTTTTCTAATATTCAGATATTACCACATAATCTTCTTGTGGTTGGTGAACTAAAACGCACCGTTCACTTTTCCATTCAAGTTAATAGGCTGTCTAGTTTAAAAGCCCATACAGAGAGTAAATCGCATTTTATGACCAAAATACCCCTAGAACATCTTTAAATTTGCAAAGGAATGCCATGGGTCTTCTTCATTCTCTCTCTAAAATTACAACCCAAAACAAAAACCTAAATTAATTTAAACAAATTAATTTCTATAAAAAACATTCTATAGATTTGCAGGTTTTTTTTTTTCTTTTTGGGGATTGGTTTGGGTCGAAATTTGCCCAGTAAAGCACAGATTGAATCCAACTCATTTCTATACCGTCTTGTTTTTGCAAACCCAGTTCAGGAAAGTCTCCGTTCATCACTGTCATGAATTGATTTGAATCACCTAGAAACAATGAAATGAATGTTGCTCGAATTGTTTTCACACTCTTTTTGTGTTCTACTACTAATTGGTTGAATCAGAAGCCTCATAAACAACCCATTATCGATCTTATCTGAAACGAATTGCCATCGATGAACAAGCTTTGTTGCGTTGTGATCCAATCCTTTCTTAACCCGAAAAACCGTCATAGTTTCCGGCACCGGAACAAGCCTAAATAGTAGTGATGATGATGAGGGGTTTGGGGGTGGAGGAGGTGTTGAAGCGGCGGTTGCAGATGTAGAATCGGAGGACGGTTGGGTAGGATGGGTTGCTGATGTCAAGGTTTGACAGTAGAAGGTTGAATCTATGGTTGCCCATGGTGGTGAACTTTTCTTTTAATATAGTTTTATCTAAAGCATCTTAACAGATTTTAGGAATATATATACCTAAATCAAGCCATGATTCTTCTTGAATTTTACTTGCATTATATTATCCTACAAGGGTCCGTTCCAGCACCATTGGGTTCAACTCCTCTTTATATGTGACACGGTTTAACTCAATCCATTTCATGTCCCAAAGGGTAGCTTAGCTTGTATGATAGCTCAGAAAACTAGGTCAACATAGAAGGAATTAACATGATACTATGAACTGAGCATGGTTGCTTCAAGTAAAATACTTGAGACGAACAGAGGCTTTGAATTTCTCCGAATACCTCAGTGATTTATGAATTTCTTCGACTTCAATCTCAAAATTTCCATTCATTCGAACAGGGGCTTTGCATTCGAACTGGGTTTGATATGTATATATGTATATATATGTACACATAATCAAGAAAAAGATGAAGATGAGATTGTATATGTGTGTGTGTGTATATATATATATATATATATGTACACATATAAAGTTGAAATGGAGAGAGAGAAGAAGAAGATGAAGATGAAGATGGAGAGAAATAGAATTGGGTTTTCCTGAAATAATATATATATATATATATATATATATATGAGGGTATAATTGTCAATTTACAACTTATGTTAACAAAAGTTAGTGTGCGTTTTAGTCCATCAACTACATGGGGGTTATGTGGTGATATTCGAATGTCAGGGGGTAATCCGTATATAGCCCAAATCACAAGGGGGTAAAGTGAAGCTTGCCCAATTATGTTTTGCTTCATGAGCAAATTCATGTGGTGTTTTAATTTGAATTTCATTGGTTAAAATAATAAGATTTAACCCTTTTCTTTTCTTTTTTTGTTTTGGATAGACAACAAGATAAGTGTCTTACCACTATGAATGATGTTGAACAAAGCTCCAAGATTATTAAATAACTTCTCCTATTTTAACTATAAAAAAATAAAAAATTCCTTATACCATTTTTTTTAATTACAACATGATCATTTAAAATTTAAAATTTTCATTTTATCATTTTGAGAGAGAAAGAGGACCTTAGATTTGGAAGAAAAAAAAAAAAAGAAGAAGAAGAAGAAAAAAAGGAAGGGAGGGAGAAGAGGAGGGTAGATCTGGGGATGGGCTGGCGGGAGGGGTTGGGGAATGGTGGCGACATGTGGAGGTAGAAGGTGTGGGCATTCGTCTGGTCGGACTGGGTTTGGATTGGGCTGACACTACCTAGTAAGGAATTTTGTGTTTCTCCAAGTTTGGCTTGGCCCTAACATCAAGTCTTTACATTTACCCAAGCCCGTCCAAAAAATTAGTTATAAATCCCAAGTTCACCCATTGGACTATATATTAATTTTTGGGGTTTTTTTTTTAGGGTCCCTGGTATTAAGACTTTATAGTATAAAG